GCACTCGTCGGGCGCTTTGCATTTTCATGCCGTGAATGTTGCTGCCTGCTTTTAGACGTACGCTATAGTGTTTATTTAGATGTATGGGAGAGAGCGTCTCGGGGAGAGTGCCTGATTTTCCTCTGAAGGTACACGTGTGCTCGTAGCCGCGCGTCCTACGTGTGTACGTGTGTCTTCACGTGCGCGACACAACAGCGGTGTGTGTGTGTGTGTATATATGTGTATATATATATGTATATACATACACAAGCAGGAAGGGAGGGGAATGGCACTTTGCGAGAGCTTCTTGCGGTTTTCGCGATATTACGAGCCGGGGCATCTGCGTCTTCCGTTCCGGCACGTCACGACTTCTCATAACGTTAAAAGGAACGCAGATGGGCGGAGAGGAAAAATTCTTGAAAAACGCGTATCGAGGATTTTGCGTGGCTCCCCGCTAGACGCTAACGCGTCTCTTGATTAAGCCTGGATTGCCGCGGAAATCTCGCGGTTTTCTCCCGATACTTCGATGGCGAATAATAGCGCTCTTTGCGAATGCTATTTTAAAGAAAAAGCCATTCGCGCTATGAAAGACTCCGCGCGGAGTAGAGCAATCTTCGCCGGTCCAATTTGGCACGGGGAGAGAAAAATTCGTTCGCGCGGCGAGGTTTTCATCTCTCCCCCGTGTGAAATCCGGGACAACGAGAACACCGCGGAGGCCAAAACTCGGTTTCTCGTTTCTCTACTTCTGCCATTTCTCCCTTTCCGCCTTCCTCTTTTTCTCTCCTCTCTCTCTTTCTCTCTCTTTCTCTCTCTTTCTCTTTCTCTTTCTCTTTTCCTCTGTTTCTCCCGCGACGCGAGAGAGCAGCGGTGGAGCATCCGAGCCATTCATTATTTTCTTGGTTACCTCTCACCCGGGGAAAACTTCTTGGCAACGCAATTACGTTTGCAACGGTTCCATCCCCGTCGCCGTCCCTTCCTTCCTAGAGAGAGCCGCCACCATTTCTCGCCCACAATGTCCTCTCACCCTTCCTCCCCGTTCCACCACTCACTCGGAATCTTCTGGTTCTGCCGCAAACTGCCGTGCAGTATGTCGAGTAGATGGAACTTTACCGCATGTTACGAAACACATTCTACGTGTTATCTTTGCGAACAATTCGAGTATATTCAAGTTCCACCTCGATAATGATCGCGTTGTTTTCAGACGTCAATCGTTAAACACGCTTAATACGCGTAATACGAGTAATTTCTTTATTAAGGAAACATGTCAAAATTAAATGTACGGATATATCAATATTTATTTAGCGCAGTCAGAGCTCTTGGATATTAAATATATTTTCTAAATATCTCTTGTTACTTTCTTTTATACGCGTTTTCAGATGTGGAATATACTTTGAAAATTCTGATGTTTCATAAAAGCTGCTTGTTTTGTATTCGCACGCATTCGCGCGCGCGCGCGCGCTTGTATGCTACGTAAACTCTCTGGGTTCCCGTACGCGATGTCTCGCGAATAGCTCGACTCATTTTCGCGTACGTTATAATTAGCGCCTTAATAACCAGCACTCACAGCACGACGAGTAATTAAAACAGGTCCTCCTCTTCGTGTTCTCTCTTGCCTCTTTCTTCGCTCCACTCTCTTTTTGTCTCTTTCTCTCTCTCTCTTTCTCTCTCTCTCTCTCTCTCTCTTTCGCACTCTGTTCGTTCGCTGAGATGCCGAGATGTGCTCGAGGGAGGGAAACTTGCCAAGAATTTCAGTGGCCTGGCGATATTTCAATTAGCATCCGAGGCTCGTTTAAGCGGCGGCGAAAACGCGTTGACGGAAGAGCTCGCGTTTATATCAAGCCGCGAGCTCGCCGGGCTTATATTTTCGGGGCGTTTACGAGTAGCCGGGAACGGGACGGGGGAGACAGCGGGGAGGGAATAAGGCACGTAGAGACCGGCGGTTTGTTTCCTGTACCACGACGAATCGGCGGCTTCCGCTTCCGCGTCTCTCGAGCGTGCGAATTCAACGCGTTGGCGGGGAAACGAGCGCCGGGGCCGCCGCTTTGTCGAGGTAATTAAGTGATTTCATTTTCTCGACGAAAGCGTCGAAAATGTTCCGTGCTTCGCGTTCCGTGCGCCGCCTGTTGATTCCGCGATAATTAAATGGAGTTCCGCGCTGTGTGATGTTGCGCCGTGTGAATTATTATTATGCCGAGTTACCTGGCCTGGCGCGTAGATCTGTGCGCGATTACCCAATGACGGTTAGTTTCGCTTCTGCATATTCGCGGAAATTAGCGCAGATCGAGTGACGAGGCGCATGAATTATTTTACCCGCCGAGATAAGTTATACGCATTAGATATTGGATCGCAAACAATCGCGGTAACATCCGACTATCGAGATAAAAAATTCAATGTTACCTTCAAACGACGGACGTTCCTGCAAAAAGCGATAAATCCCGAGCGATAAATCCCCATCGAGCGTGACGGGTGGAAGCTTGGAATAAATCAGACTACCGATTTTAGAATAGCGATCGGCGAAATTACGGGGCACGTTGGAACGACGCGGATATACCTACGCCACTGCGGCAATCTTGCCTGGATTTAATTTAATTCAGGCAGTCTCTTCCAGCCGGAGGGCGTCGTAAACACCCTCGGTCGGTTATGCCGCACCTGCATCTTCACTCGTTTCCTTTGCGAGGGGGCGCGTTAAGCTAGTCCTTACCTTTCTTAACGATCCGGAACAAGCCGCCCCGAGGCACGGGCGCGCACACTACAATCGTGTACACCCTTCCGTCATAGTGTGATGCTTGTCGAAGGGGAAAAACACCGAGTGCCGAGTGAATTTTTTTGTTTCCTACTTTTTACACTTTTTCTACTCGATAATTTTCCAGTTGAGAGAGGGGGTTTGTAGAATATAAATATAATCGAATAAATACAAGTATAAAAATTCACAAGCTAGTGTAATAATATTTCTTTTAAGAAGAAAGTTTTTATATTTTTCTAACGAATGTTATTGACATTTCTTTTTCAGACGGAGATAGCGAAGAGGTTGAACGCTATCATTGCACAGATCCTGCCGTTTCTCTCACAGGAGCATCAGCAGCAAGTCGCCACGGCGGTCGACAGAGCCAAACAAGTGACCATGACCGAGCTCAACGCTATCATCGGGGTGAGTGTAACAGTATTGCTTGTTACAAAGACCGGACCTTCCGTCGCCGGCATTGTCGTCGGATCGCGCGACGTTCATGCTCGTGACACACTCGGCCAAATGCGCGGGCAGCGTGAAAAGCATTTGCGGCGAGTGGAGAACCCCTGACGAATACGCCGCGCTGTGGAAGCCGATGCACGTCCGAGGAATCCAAAAGCGGACGGGACGGATACGATCCTGGCGAATCCCGAATCCTCCTCAATATTGCTCGAGCACTCAATTTCCTCCCTATTAAGCCACCGGCTTCGCTTACCCCCGATTCTCCGTCTTCCTTCGCTTCGTGTCGACCCCGCCTCACCTCCGGTCCTTCTCTCTTCATCCTTATCGCCCGCCGCATCCTCTCTCGCCACCTATATAGCCGCCTTTGCTTCTCTCTCTGTCTCTCCCTCTCTCTCTCTCCGTCTCCCTTCCTGAATCTTATCCGAAGTCTTCCCGCCTGGTTTCCCAAGCCGCCGAGGGTAGGTTATAGTGTTACGGTGCACGAGCGCCGACTAATCAGCATTCCAGCCACCCCTCCGACCCGCGTCCCCGCACCAGCCCGCGGAGAAACTTCCACGGATCTGCGACGTTGTCGGGGTACGTGCGGCAAATCCTTAGCAGGATTCCGGGATACCGACTGCCTTAGTCTCCACTCTCTCGTCTTAAATCCCACCTAGCTACGTGGGGCGGTTCGAGCCCCGAACAAGCCGCGGCGGGCTCACGCCACTCGCGGCGCGGTCCATTTCGCGAATAGATAAGCCGGGAGAAACATAATTATTTCGCGGATTCTTCGCATCGCGATGTAGATATCGCGATTGTAGATTGCCACTATCGGCAGATTACTCGATTACTCTTCCTTCTCATAGCTACTCGCAGCTGTAACCATCGCCACGCACGTTCGCGCGGCGATATCGCGATTGTAAAAGCCTCGACGTTGCGAACGATATTGACTTACGTTCGCACAAATGCACCTGCATCGATCACGCCGCGACTCCTCGACCAAAGACGCTTACCAAGTGTCAACGATATGCAATATGAGAGAGTTAAGACGATCCCATTCAGATCTCTCGGCGTCAGCAAGTGGCAGCGACGATGAAAACTGCTGAGGATGAGCCTGGCAGCCGATGCAGGTGCCGCGAGAAGGACATTCGCACGAAGATTAAGATGCAGTAACTTTATATTCGAAAAGAAATACACAGTCGACGCGCCTTGAATCGTGAAAATCCGACGCTTTCGAGTGTCAAAAGATATCGCGTTTATTTATTGTATATCAAGATTGTCGGTCCGAAATAAATTTGAAAAATAACAATTCGAAACAGACGAAGAGATATTATTCCAAGTTGCACACATTTTATTTTGCCGTGCGTTTATATGAAAATTATAACGTTAATAATTATTAAATGTGCAATGTGAACTCTACAGTATCTCTCGAGACTTCACCGTACACTTTTTTTTTTATCAGCGTTTCTTTGCGCGTTAGAGAACCTAATTTTCTAAAGAAATAAAAGAAATGAAATTTGCACCTTCGAGTTCTTCGTGAAATTCGTACGCGTTGCGAATCAAAGCGCTGCTCGTCGCCTACTACGGTATTACGAGGAATCTCGGCGCGAAGACGAAGAAGAGGTGGTTTCCTGGCTCTCGGGTAAGAGGGTAACACTCCGCGTTAGAAGTTGGATTCGTGAGGATAGCAGCTCCGGGTCAGGATTATTATCGCTATCAAGAGTGGAAACTCGGAACGTTTCCTAAGGGCTTCCGACTTCCTCGAATCTCCGGCAACGTTTCGCAGACGGCTTCGTGGACCTGGAGTCGTCTCTCGTCTTTCTCTCATCTCTCTCTCTCTCTCTCTCTCTCTCTCTCTCCTCCT